TGTCCTTTTTCTACTGTGCAAGAAGGGAAATTTGTGTCAGCCAATATACACATTTCAACATACATGTATATAATTTAAAAAATGCGATCGATTCATAATGATATGTTGTTTGTATATATATTTTTTTATATGTGTCTTGTACATTTAGTATGATATCTGTCAGGATCTGTGTTAGTATACAGAGGTTTTATATGTGTTTAGACTGGCTTTATATTGGAATCCTTTCATATACAAGCTATGTATACGCCAATGTTGCGTGAGGAGTATGGTGGTTGTAGAAGGTAGAAGTTAGGATGTGTGGTAAAGACCAGCTTGATAGAGGAGATGGTGCTTAAGAGCATGACAGCTCCTGCCATCTTGTCTCCTCCTCGCTCCCGCGTACGCTCCTCTCGTATACCCTAGTAGTTACTCGACTGGCGCTGCTCCCTCACACCGGCTTCATAATTGATATGCCTGCTCTAAACATCCAACCTAATGTCACTAAATTTATTTTCTGTTTGTCAGGCTATCGTTTGTACTACTAGATCGCTTATCGCAACTGGTGTCTTCACCAGACGAGACTTCCATACACGTGTGGAGTATGTGCTTTAACATAAATTTGTAGCGGTCATCTCTTGTGTCAGTGTATGTGGTGAGTACTCAGAGTGCATTATATGCTGTCCCGCCTCTGACCGACCTGCCCCCACCCCTGACTCATCGCTGCTAAACATAAACTATCCGCCTCTACTTCGCCCCACCTCTTATCGCTAAACACTATATGTTTCATATATAGAATGTTTGGCTATGCTGTTAAATTTGATAATGAAATGGCTTGTATATACAGACACACTGTAGCTTTTGAAAGATTGATCTGTCAGACTGCACAGATACTGCACTGTAGCTCTATGTTATCAAGTGTGCACACACTCAGAAAGATGGTATGTGTTGCACGGAAGATATGGATGTATTTTGGTTCACACTGGTGGAATATTGTGCTTGTACGATTCGTAATAAAGAGAAACGTGTTTTTGCTGTTGTGAGTCGGTCATGGGAGTAGGGTAGTGCTTGTTATAGGGTAATGACAAGAGTGTATTGAGGAGTGTGATTTCAACTTCTCGCCACATTTATTCTGATTTCCGTGTCGTATTCCATCTATACGTATAGTCTGGGAAATAAGTGTATTAGGGCTGTTGTGCTGCTCACAGGGTGCCTTGTTCGCAGTCTGAGCAGTCAGCTTAGCGGTCCTGCAACTCATCGAAGCATATAATGTATCACAAAATTAGTTTGTTTTCTTACAATAATACATCTTTCTGTCTACTTAACCTCTATACATATCATAATGGAGAAGGGTCGAGGGGGATTTGAAGGTTTTGTGCCTCCTAGCGAGGTTGTAGTGCGCGCTGAGTAAAGGGAAGGTCCTGGAGCGGGTCCGACAACTGCTTCGAGAAACATGGAAGAATTATGGAGGCAATAGTACGGCAGTGGATATTTCCTTAAATGAGTCATTTTTATCGACTAAAGGCATGACGACATGGATTATAAAGAACATGCCGAGGTTATGTACAGCGTCCCTTCTCCTGCCTCCTAGAAATATTTATCAGCTCCCCTGACTGCCTGCCTACCACTCAATATTTCGCAAACCTGAGCAAAGATCCTATAAGCGGTCAGGCAACTCATCGAAGCATAAAATTCATAAAACATCATCATCTTCTTTTCTTACCCATCCATACCTTCCTTTGCTCTAACCCTTCACTACATCACTATCCAAAGCAACTGTCCTCTACGGTCAGGACTCCTCTCGCCACAGGCTCCCTTCATGTGCTCCTAAGCAGTGTTAGAATAGACCTAACATGATCCTTAAGCGGATCGACAAACTCTATCAAAAACATGAAATATTATCACTAATAATGAATATTCCTTAAATTATACAATTTTTGGTACTAAAAACATACTACCAATAGAATATATAGAAGAATGCCCCAACAAGTATTTTTAAGGTCTTATGAGTCCTCCCTAGGAAATAATTTAATAGATCCTTAGTGTGACCATAGCAGTACCTTTTCGCACCTGAGACAATCATTAGCGAGTCTGCAACTCTCGACAAGACAATAAAAATTCTATCACAAAAAATATAATTTTTATCTTACAAATAAATCAAATTTTATGTCTATATAATCTATACTAACACAAAATATATATAAGAATGAATAAATAAGAGGATTTGAAGTCTTTAGTCCATCCTAACAGAAATTGTTAGTGAGACTACTCACAACATCTATAGAGTCCCGACCAACTCTATCAATATAAACAATGAATTTAATCAACTATAATGAATATTTATTCAACTTAAAAATTAATACAATTTTTTATACTAAATCATACTACCAGTAATTGCTAAATAAATAGACCCATATTGCTTTGTATAATTATACAGCTGTAATTTTAGGTAACTATATGAATAGCTACACTATAGAAGAAAATAAATTTTAGGATACTAGCAAGATACTATTACGAACACTGAGCATTCCTTAGCGGATCCGAGACTCATCGAAAGCATAAATTGCTATCTCACAAAATAATAATTATTATTTTCTACAATAATAAACTTTTTGTCTAATTAACATACTACTTAATATATAAGAATGCGTTCTAGGAGGGTAATTCTAGAAGGTCCTTTGTGCTCCTTAGACACTATGTTATTGCACCATGAGCAGTCCTTAAGCGTCGAAAACTCCTGTCAAGGAAGAAGCATGAGTGGGGTAGTCACGAAAAGGGAGTATGTACTTCGTTAAAAGTGAGAGCAGTGTGTGTTGTCGGAGAAAGTATACGTGAGCAGGAGTGATAAGGAGGGGGCGGCGAGAGCGAGTCTATCTCGTGAGAGGGTCGTGTGTGCGCGTGGCCTAGGTGGGAGAATGGTTGGGTATGGTTGGGGGATGCTAGCGTCCTTTTCTCGCACCTTAGCACTCTTACGTCCGGCAATCTCATTCCGCACACGCACTATAATTTCATCACCAAAATTTATATTTTTTCTTACAATAAAAATTTTTGTCTATTAACTTACCTTACATATATTATAAGATTATGTTCTATGAGGGATTATTGAAGGCTCCTTTGTGCCTCCCTACAGTTTTTGTGTGCATCGAACAGTCCTTTAGCGGTGCCAACTCTTCAAAAACATGAATATATATATCACCATATAATATGATATTTTTCCTAAAATTATACATTTTTTTGTCAATCAAACATATACCAATCGAATTAAAGAATCCTCAACAGTTCTATTTAAGGTCTTTTTGTGCCTCCTAGGAAATATTATAGCATTTGATGCTGCTAAGCATCTTTTGCACCTGAGCAGTCATTAGACGGTCGCAACCTCATCGAAAGCATAAAATATTCTATCAAAATTATAATTGGGTGTGTGACAATTAATAATTTCATTGTCTATTTACTTACCTACATATATATATTAAATGTATGAAGGGCATTTGACAGGTCCTTTGGCTCTAGCAGTTTGTTCATGCATCTGAGCAGTCCTTAGCGTCCCCGAACAACTCTCAAAAATAATTTTTATACACTAACATATATTTTTCTTAAAATAATAACACTTTTTTTCATAAACATACTACCTTCGTTATTATATAGATTACCTAGGCAGGTTATTAAGTTCTTGTGCTCCCAGCAGATCTTTCTTTATCTGAGCAGCATCTTAAGCGTCCGACAACTCGATAAATTATTCACAAAATTATAAGTTTTTTCTAAAATGTATTTCTCTTTTTTCACTAATCTAATACCATGTCAACTATAAGAATGGCTACGAGGTATTTTAAGGTCCTTTGTTCTCTAGTAGTCCTTTGGTGGCTTCTTCAGCATTCTTCACGCGCAAGTCTTAGGTCTTAGAGTCCTTAGCAGTGTTTAGTAGGACCCCAATACTTATGCAGTTGACCCGGGGTTAACATTTTAAATTTAAGCCACCGTTTTTAAATTAATAGTAAGTGGAAGCAGAAAAACTTCAACAGTAAGTTAAAACTATGACAAACAAAAAAGGAACCGTAAAATACGAAAATGAAACTCATTTCAATAATAAATCCAAATCTTTCTACTTTCACTATCGGTAGTCTGTGTCGTGCGGAAGCTGTCTCATATTTTCGGGGATTTTGATTGGATGGCCTTGTTTCGGTAATTACATTGCACGTGCTCAAATTCTATACTGCACTCAAAATATTTCGGGACATTGGTTTAAGTTAGGCATAAGTCGCGGTGATGAATTTTTAGGCGAAGATACGCTTAAGGTTCTTTTTTGTTGCTGTGTAGTTGAAAATAATGTAAGAAAATGAGAAAAGAACTGATTATAATTGAAATGACATTGACAAAGAACTTGAAAATCTTTTGACATTCAACATTTATTTAACGGTAGTAATTGATAGAAATAAATGTCGGCGAAAACTTGACTGCTTTTTGGAGAGTCCAATCAAACGCACTAGCTGTCATTCACGACCGGAAATGACGCCACCAAAATATGAGAACCCCCGAAAATATGAGAACAAGGCATACTACTTCCGACGAAAGTTTTTAAAACCATCACTTTTAGTTGGTATTTGCATTATCATAAAGCTCGCTTTGCAAGCATGCCCCTTGAGCTCGCTATAAGTATAACGGTATGAGAAGATAAGAAACCCTAATAGATCTGATAGAAATGTGTTATTGATAATTTTATTATGAAGAGAACAAGAAAGTTGGTTACAGTGTAATTGTTTTGTTTAAAAAAACTGAAAGATTTTTAAGAAAATACCAACTTTACTTGACCTGTATTGCTGTAATAGAGAATGCAGCATCCCATACATAATTTGTTCATTCTTTTATTCAAACTAAATGTAGACATATTCAGAAAGAATTTAATACAGGTTTCAAAAAATTTTTGTGATTGAAATGTTTTACTGAAAGATGAGAATTGTTATAATTATCATTAAAACTATTTCACAGCCAGCTGTTATAATCTTACATGATAAGTATATTTTGTACAGTTACAATGGAAAAGTGAATTGACAGGCTGTTACAAGGAGCACCTATGATGTAGATACACATATATACTGCAAACTGTTGGCACAATGGCACTGCTTTACCTTAGTCACAGAGCATTATTTATCCTGATACTTCTTGCTACCTGTGGTATGAATCTTTTTTGAAAACTAGAATTGTTATTCCTTTTATATTGGATAATTTGTTCTAATGTTAAGTATTATATTATGTTTATTATTATAATCTAAAGAATGTACACTTGTTAATTAATGGATAAAATTAGGCTGATGTGAAATCAATACAAAATGTTATATACTGTTACGAGTGTACTTGTATATTAAAGCAGCACACCAGTCCTCCAGATTCATGCTGATTTTCATGAAAACTTTGAAAATTAATTTTAAAGTATAAAGTTGTGCAGTAACCAAAAGGAAGCAATTTGCACATTATCAATGACACTTACATTCCAGGTAATTTACCAAAAAGATGTCAAAATATGCATAATTAGTCCTTACTGCATAAAATTACAAAATGTAGTAACATAGTAAAAATATAGCAATAATTACTGAAAAATCAGCAATTACTCAAGCATTACATGCCAATTATTACTTGAATCTTTTACTTTTCCTAAAATCTTAGTACATTTTTCTCAAGCTTGATTTTATTGAAATATTTTGGCTCATCTGGAGGCATGCAGCGTTAAAGATCCTGTAACACAATTTTTGTATGGTTTTATATCATAAAATAAATATGATGCTCAAATTAAGATTTATCAATATTGTAAGTTCCAAAAAGCATTATTTATAAAGATTTTACCGAATTTAAAATTTCATGTAAATAATGGGAGGTAATTAGAAATTTAATTTCTAAGAAGTTTAAGTCAATTGTTTCATAAGAACTGAATGCATATATTTTAATGATTACATTTTATGTGCTTAAAATATTTGCAGTACATATTTTACATATTCTTTGATGTTTGAAAATTGTTTTATATTATAAGCATTATTATATGCATATACAGTAGAACTTCGGTAAGTCGAAGTTTGAGGGACTTGCGTAAAAACTTCGACACATCGGGACTTCGACTCAAGAATCGGTCTGAATTTCATGACAAAATTTCAACCCGTGACTAGCCTTTATTATAAGATCTATAACGTAACCTACTTCATGTTTTTCTTTCATTAATTAATCTGATAATTTACATTATACAATGATAAATATGACATGTTAAGTATTTTCACGGCTAATGATTTGGACTCCCTGTTGACGTATACAATGAAGTTACAAAAGGCGTAACAATACGAAAGGGCAATAACTTAACCAGCTGATAGTAAATGTTTCGCGTGTGATTATCACGCGACACCGGGTCACAGAAGTACTCAAATGATAGTTCTTACTGTTTACATGAAGATCTACTTTTAAATACCGCTACGGCAATTAAAATAGTAATGATTAAAGCATTTTTTCACACATTTAAACGCATACAAAGGCTGTTTGAACATTCGGCTGTGTAATTAACACCTGTCACTAAAGTTGATCGGAAATCGTCTTCGCGGCTAGAAAAGGTGTGAAAATGTCTCGAGATCGAAGGTGTCAAAATAACCGAAGAACTTTGACTTTTTTGTGGTAAATTGAACTAGATTTATTCTATACGGACCTCGAAAAAACCTCGACACATCGAAAACTCGACACATAAAATCTCGACTCATAAATAGGTTTTTATAAACAATATATAAGGGAAAATCCGGGACTTTCGTTTTCTTCGACACATCGAGAAAATCGACTAATCGAAGTTCGACTCATAGAAGTTCTACTGTATATAAAATTTCACTTAAGTGTGGTATACAACCTCAATTATAACATACAGGATCTTTAAAGCTAACACATTAGCTGCATATGTTTTAAAGATATTAAATTTCATAATCAACACTGTTTATAGTAGAATGAATATTAATGTACATAATATGTTAGGTGTTTCCTTTCCAATATTTATCTATATTGTATATATGTAGGTTCAGCACTTGCTGATGAAGTTGCCACGGAGAACAACAGGACAGGGACAACAAGATCTCCAACCACAGTTCAACTAGATACATCATCTGACAACACCACTGAAACAGCCACTACTGCAGAGAACCAGCTACCAGATGATAATGCCACACAATCGGCAAGCTCTGATAATATCACTGAAAACCCAACTGACAAACTAAGTCCAGCAATAATCACATCTCATAAGACTGTCACTGAAACTACACAAAATCCAATAAATATTGAGGTAACTACACAGAAAAGCAAGGATCAGGTAAACAATGTGACACAGTCAAGTAACAAAGCTACAGATGGGATAGAGAAGCAGTCGGAAGGGCCAGGAGGTGTAACCTCTAATAAAGGACATGTTGAAAGTAGTAAGAAAAATACAGGAGCAGATATAACCACCCAGTTTATACCAGTGACATTTGACACAAGATGGATGGACATATTTATTCATACGCATCACTTTGAGGGTCAATATTCATTCAATGATGTGAGATATTTGTTTGACTTTGTAGTGAGATACAAGCATCCAGATAGTCCGAGGACATTGGTGGCATTTCTGTATGATGCTGATGGTGCTGTACTGGAATTCAATGGTATGGTAGTTCAATTTTTGTCTAGTTTTATTCAATGGTATTTTTTGTGTCGCCTCTACAGAGTAGTGGCGACATATAGGGATCACTTCTCCGTCCGTCTGTCCGTCCGTCACAAAACTTGTCTGGACTAGTCCTCATAAACTACTGGTGCAATTTCATCCAAACTTTACAGGAATGATCAGTACCAAGTTTAGTAGTGCATGTTGTCAGCATTTTCCCGTTCAATGATTTTTGTCCAGAGTTATGGCCCTTTAATAATTTTTATTTTTAAAGTTTGTCCGGACTACTTCTCTTATACCACAAATGCAATTTCATTGAAACTTTACAGGATTGATCTGTAGCTAAAGTCCTTGCGCATATTGCACGGGTTTTGCGGTTGAATTATTTTTGGCCGAGTTATGGCCCTTTGATGAAAAGGTGTTTTTTTCTGTGTGTTGCCAGATACACAAAAGCTTGTCCGGACTACTCCTCATAAACTACTGGTGCAATTTCATCCAAACTTTACAGGAATGATCAGTACCAAGTGTAGTTGTGCATATTGTCAGCATTTTCCGGTTCAATGATTTTTGTCAGAGTTATGGCCCTTTAATAATTTTTATTTTTAAAGTTTGTACGGACTACTTCTCTTATACCACTAATGCAATTACAGTGAAACTTTACAGGATTGATCTGTAGCTCAAGTCCTTGCGCACATTGCACGGGTTTTCTGGTTGAATGATTTTTAGCCGAGTTATGACCCTTTGATAAAAAGGTGTTTTTTTCTGTGTTTTTGAGATACACAAAAGCTTGTCCAGACTACTCCTCATAAACTACTGGTGCAATTTCATCCAAACTTTACAGTAATGATCAGTACCAAGTCTAGTTGTGCATATTGTCAGCATTTTCCAGTTCAGTGATTTTTATCCAGAGTTATGACCCTTTAATAATTTTTATTTTTAAAGTTTGTCCGGACTACTTCTCTTATACCACAACTGCAATTTCATTGAAACTTAACAGGATTGATGTGTAGCTGAAGTCCTTCGCATATTGCACGGGTTTTCCGGTTGAATGATTTTTGGCCGAGTTATGGCCCTTTGATGAAAAGGTGTTTTTTTCTGTGTGTAGCCAGATACAAAAAAGCTTGTTCGAACTACTCCTCATAAACTACTGGTGCAATTTCATCCAAATTTTACAGGAATGATCAGTACCAAGTCTAGTTGTGCATATTGTTGACATTTTCCGGTTCAATGATTTTTGTCAGAGTTATGGCCCTTTAATAATTTTTATTTTTAAAGTTTGTCCGGACTACTTCTCTTATACCACTAATGCAATTTCAGTGAAACTTTACAGGATTGATCTGTAGCTCAAGTCCTTGTGCACATTGCACGGGTTTTCTGGTTGAATGATTTTTGGCCGAGTTATTGCCCTTTGATAAAAGGGTGTTTTTTTCTGTGTGTCGCCAGATACACAAAAGCTTCTCCAGACCACTCCTCATAAACTACTGGTGCAATTTTATCCAAACTTTACAGGAATGATCAGTACCAAGTCTAGTTGTGCAATAGCCGTCTGTCTGTCCGTCTGTCACAAAACTTGTCCCAACATGAAATTGGCCATCATGAGGCGACACATGTGATCACTGATCGCTCTTGTTGTCTTGTTTCATTCAATGGTATTGTAGTTCAATTTTTGTCTTGCTTCATTCAATGGTATTGTAGTTCAATTTTTGTCTTGCTTCATTCAATGGTATTGTAGTTCATTTTTTGTCTTGTTTCAATCACTGCATTGAATGGTATGGTATGGTATGGTAGTTCAAATTTTGTCTTGTTTCATTCAATGCCTTGAATGGTATGGTATGGTAGTTCAAATTTTGTCTTGTTTCATTCAATGCCTTGAATGGTATGGTATGGTTGTACAAATTTTGTCTTGTTTCATTCAATGCCTTGAATGGTATGGTACGGTAGTTCAAATTTTGTCTTGTTTCATTCAATGCCTTGAATAGTATGGTATGGTAGTTCAAATTTTGTCTTGGTTCATTCAATGCCTAGAATGGTATGGTATGGTAGTTCAAATTTTGTCTTGTTTCATTCAATGTCTTGAATGGTATGGTATGGTAGTACAAATTTTGTCTTGTTTCATTCAATGCCTTGAATGGTATGGTATGGTAGTACAAATTTTGTCTTGTTTCATTCAATGCCTTGAATGGTATGGTATTGTAGTACAAATTTTGTCTTGTTTCATACAATGCCTTGAATGGTATGGTATGGTAGTTCAAATTTTGTCTTGTTTCATTCAATGCCTTGAATGGTATGGTATGGTAGTACAAATTTGGCTTGTTTCATTCAATGCCTTGAATGGTATGGTATGGTAGTTCAAATTTTTTCTTGTTTCATTCAATGCCTTGAATGGTATGGTATGGTAGCTCAAATTTTGTCTTGTTTCATTCAATACCTTGAATGGTATGCAGGGTTCTCACTAGGACTTTAAAACATGGAGTCCATGGACTCCCAACCCTGAAAAAGTTGGAGTCCAAAAGCGCGTCGCAATTAATATGTTTACAGATTAATTAGTCATTCAATGTTCACAATAGCATTGTTGATATTTTGAATGTTCAAGAGACTTCCAAAGTAAATAGTTATTCAAAAGAAACTCTGAACTACATAGTATAATTATTGTTTTGTTGTTAATATTTATTATGAAATTATAATCATTATAATGCATCAACCCATGGAAATCTTTTTTTTTTTTTTTCACTTTTATACCAAATCAAATTTTTCTCTGGTTAAATAAGTCCACTCTTAAGACAAAAAGTTTGTATTTGTTAAAAAAAAACGTAAATGTATATAGGCAGCGTTTAGCGGAATGAATAGGAAAATCGTGTACAGATTCACACAGTGTGTAAGAGATTCATCAGAACGACGATTATTTTAGCAATTATCTTCAAAAGGGGGCAAATTAAAGATCGACATTTAAAGATTTAATGTTGATTAAATAATAAAGAAACAATTCATTCGCATGTTTGGCTTGGAAACCGAGAATTTTTGCGAAATTTTAGGGTTTCTGGCGAACGTGAAATCGCCGATGTTCGGGATCAATTTTCGGATAGAGAAAAGCGTATGTGTACCTGGCATTTCGGCACAATATCTTAAATTCTTAATACTCTTATAGAAAGTTTTTGCAAGAATGAAACTAAAGCAAAATTGTACCTAGAAAATGCCGAAAATATTCGACAATCATTCACGGATTTATATTACAAATTAATATAAATCCGTGAATCATTATAATGCCGAAAATATTCGACAATCATTCAAAATTACACTCAATTGTAATTTTAAAAAACAGTCTTAAAACTTGCGGCGTAAATAGTCGATAATTTTATCCTTTTGTCGGTAAAATTTGCTAATTTCCAATCAACTGTTGATCAAAGATATAAAATTATCACCTTGTGATATATCTGGTAATTACATGTACTGTACAGCGCGTGTATACATTAGTCTGATCACTATTGCGTGATAATGATCGGAAGCGTTATCGCTGATTGGCTAATTGCTTCACGGGCCGATGTGCATAGGACCGCCTACCTATAGACTGACACGCGCTGACGCATTTGTGTATTTGTGGTTGTAAACAATCGGGAATGTTTATGCGTCCCCGGGCAAAACTAAGCGTACGTGGAATCCTTGCTCTGAAATATATGCGTCCAGCTGCAATAAACATGCGTACCGGGACGCCGAAATAAGCGTCCCCGAGAACCCTGGTATGGTATGGTATGGTAGTACAAATTTTGTCTTGTTTCATTCAATGCCTTGAATGCTATCGTATGGAAGTACAAATTTTGTCTTGTTTCATTCAATGCCTTGAATGGTATGGTATGGTAGTACAAATTTTGTCTTGTTTCATTCAATGCCTTGAATGGTATGGTATGGTAGTTCAAATTTTGTCTTATTTCATTCAATGCCTTGAATGGTATGGTATGGTAGTACAAATTTTGTCTTGTTTCATTCAATGCCTTGAATGGTATGGTATGGTAGTTCAAATTTTGTCTTGTTTCATTCAATTCCTTTTACAAGTTTTACAAGCTACTACATGTATATATGTGTGTACATCTAAGTGGTTCCCTTGAACAACTGGCACATACTTTGCGAAAGTTTCTTTTTTGGTTCAGTATATATATAAAAAAATTGTAAACTGCCAGGGTTTTTAACTTTAGATGATGTTGGACTAGGTATATGACACCAGGATTATATCCATGCATCCGCTTGGTTGCAAGAGCTTGAGAATTGTGCATCTAAAGAAGCCTTTTTATTGATGCAGGATCCTGATCCCGTAAAGCCCTGCTAAAGTATATTAAATAATACACTGTAAGAAATGTGTATTTACAGTGATATTGCAATAAATTTGATTACTGATTATAAAACTTTATGAATTTACAAAATATTTTGGATTATGAAAAATATTTTAACGAAAGGGACACTATGCTTATTTTTTCGTTGTCAAGTTTAGCTGAGTTGACTATATATTTTATAAGATTGACTGGTATAATGGTGATTGACCAAAAGTTGATATTTGAAAATGTTTCAGATAAAATAAAAATTTGCCTTAAATGTAAAAAAGATTGCCCCACTCTTTTTATAAATTGAATGTTTTTGTAAATTCCAATGGATATTTACAGAAATTTCCTTGGGTAATCAGATTTATTTATCGTTCATGCAAAGTGAATTTCAAAATTGAAACAAATTATGGAAATATGTAAATTTATATTGTCTTGCACCTTTTCACTCACCACGGATTGGCATAATGTCACTTTAAGTGGTATTTTTAATTATGTTACATTTCTTAATTGATCTTTTCTACACTACCAAGTTAGGGGCGTCCGTGGCCGAGTGGTTCAGGTCATTGACTTCAAACCACTTGCCTCTCACCGCTGTGGGTTCGAATCCCGACAGGGACTTTGGATTCTTTCATGTGAGGAAGCTTTCCAGCTAGCTTACGGAACGTCGGTGGTTCTACTCAGGTGCCCATTTGTGCCTGAAATAATGCACAGAAGGGCACCTGAGGTCTTCCTCCACCAGTAAAGCTGGAACGTCGTGATATGACCTATACTGTGTTGATGTGATGTAAAACCCAAAAAAAAACAAACACTACCAAGTTGATGTTTTATGAAGGAATCCTGATGAGCATTCATGCAGGCTGCCATGTTAGTATTTTCTGAATTACCTGTACTGACACCATTGTGGAAGATAACACTCTAGAATAACACATTGTTTGGAAAACAAAATCTGTTTAAAAGAAATCTTCAGGGTTATTTACTATTACCAGATATTGAGTCATTTTCAGTTTATCAGGGATTGTAATCTTAAATTTATCTTAAACAGGAACGTCTCCAGACAATCATTTGATAGTGTTTACATTATCCAAGATCTACACGCCCGGTGTGAGATTTCCACTACATCAGCCACTAGAAATAACAGGAACATTTACACACCAGGACCAGCCATATTTCACAGGGAACTTTACAAAACCGATCAATTCATCGTTTGCATGGCTCCATATGAATAAAGGTACTTTTCTTCATATTTATATACTTAGGTACAATTTTGCCTGAAAAGAACTATCTGTTATGATAATTACATATATCAAGGAAGGGTGTCTGTTTTGGAGTGGCTATGGTAGTAGACTTAAAAAAAATGTCCTTCACCGCCTAAGGTTCGAATCCCGCCTGGGACTTTGGATTCATTCATGTGAGGAACCTATACAGCTAGCTTACGGAATGTGGGTGGTTCCACTCAGGTGCCTTTTTGTGCCTGAAATAATGTACGCAAGGGCACCTGAGGACCAGAACAGAAAAGGTAGAATCCCGTTGTAAGACCTATATTATGTTGGTGTGATGTTCAACCAAAACAAACAAACAATATATATTATATATTAATAAATAATTGATTTGATATTGGCACTGTTATTTGTCCCAGGGCAGTCGTATTAGCCCAAGGCCAAAGGCCTAGGTCCAATATGACTGACCCGAGGACAAATAACAGGGCCAATATCAAATCACTTATTTATTGACAATTTTATTAAATAAGAACATCTACTTAAAATATTTCACATTGAATCCTCGGATTTTCTTCTTATTTTAATTCTAACATATTTTAATTAAGAACAACTGTTGTCTCCCAGAGGCAGACAACTTTGCAATTCATTGATCCAAGTTGGTAAATGTTTGTTTTTGTTGTTGTGAAATCTACCTGTAAATTTATAACATAATCGGTTTAACACTGCTAAATCATGACATGAATGTTTAGAAACTGAGAATATTTTGTTTCATTTATGCAACATGTCGGCATCTACACATAGATGGAGTCAGAACAAAATGGCTGCCATTTCCCAGTTTCTTGCAGAAATCTATATCATTTTTTGGCCCTGCTTTATTAGCCAATCAAATTACTTCAAATGCGGGCTTTATATCTATATTACTTTTCTGTGTGGGGTGGAAAAAGTGATATAGAAATTGGCACTGTTTTAAGGCAGGCCATCTTGTTATTGAACGGGCATGTACTTTTTTTATAGGACTAATAACAAATAGTTATTAAATAATATGAAGAATAATCATTATAGAAATAAGTTGGTTTAATTGTTCAGTATGGTAGTATTTATTTTTTTTTTGTCTGTTTTATGTAAAGTTTTTTGATTGTTAAGAAATTTATCATTTCTGTGCATATTACTTAAGTCCAGTTTTAGGCATGTGTATAAACATTCACATGTACTACCTTTAGATTCCTGTAGTACAGAAACATGATACATGCCCTTGGGGAATATGTAGGTCAAGGGTCAGTGAGCCAGTTTTTAAAAAGTCATTATAAACACAGAAATGTTTCATTACACATTTCTCATAAAAAGAGTACCTGTATCAAACGTGCTTTGTGTGTATCAGAAACTACTTTTTGTTACAGGGTTAGGAACAATAGAGACTGGTGAGACTGCAGGGACAAAGACAGCTATTGTTATAATCATACCCACCAGTATAGCATTCCTAGGTATATGTGGTACTGTAGCAATCATATGCTGGGCATCAAAGAAAGGATATCTTAGAGGTAGACATAAGTCGTACAGACTTTTCACTGACGCGCAAGTTTCTTATGAATCTGAAGCAGAAACTATCCACATCTAGTGAAAGGTATATCTGGGCATGATAAATGTGTATAGGATCTTAGGATACTGAATGTTTGTAACATCACTTTTCATTGGATAATCGTGTTAATGAAGTTATCTGATTTTGTTCTTAAACTGTATTTCAAATTGGTTATAAAGGTTCTTGACATGTTATATGGCCATAATTATATAAATGATTGACTGTAATATAAAAAAAAATGGTCATAAAGGTTCTTGACATGTTATATGGCCACAATTATATAAATGATTGACTGTAATATAAAGAAAATGGTCATAAAGGTTCTTGACATGTTATATGGCCATAATTAGATAAATGATTGACTGTAATATAAAAAAATGGTCATAAAGGTTCTTGACATGTTATATGGCCACAATTATATAAATGATTGACTGCAATATTACAAATTGGTTATAAAACATCTTTATAAAATATATGGTCATAATTATATAAATTATTGACTGTAATTTAATAAATTGGTTATAAAGACTCTTGACATCTTATATGACCATAATTATATAAATGATTGATTGTAATATAACTTGCCTGCTGGCACATGTTATATATGCAAAGAACTATTTATATTAGGTCATATAACCTGTCCAGAATCTTTTTAACAGATATTTAATGACTTGTCATTTTGTAAAGGTTCTTGTTACATTTTGTAAAGTGAATCAAGGAGGTGGTTATTAAGTGAGTCTGTGGGAATTGTACTGTTTCTGGTACAAGTTTAATCCTAGTCTTTTTCAAATGGCAACAAATGAGCCGCGTCATGACAAAACCAACATAGTGCATTTGCGACCAGCATGGATCGAGACCATCCGCGCATCTGCGCAGTCTGATCAGGATCCATGCTGTTCGCTTACAAACCCTATTACAAGTAGAGAAACTGATAGCGAACAGCATGGATCCTGACCAGACTGCGCGGATGCGCAAGCTGGTCTGGATCCATGCTGGTCGCAAACCCATTATGTTGGTTTTGTCATGACGCGGCTCAAATGAAAGATTCTTCTTGGTATCACATGACATTATGAAGCCAAAAAATCAAATCGTTACAAAGTCATCATTTGAAATGCGATTTTAAAAACAGGCCGGTAATTTATGTGTTTTACAGGTAAATGTCATGCTATCTCAGTCAATTGATAGATCCTAACTTTTTTGAATAACAATAGATGTAGCCACAAACATTGTCATGTGCTCTTTAGTAATGTTAATAAACAATGTTGTGGTGAAATTCTTATTGTATCCCCTTATCTGATAAGTAGAAGTAGACATGTCAGGGATCTATGCATTTAGTTTAAATGGAAAAAAAGATGGAATATCCCATTACAGGAGTCACTTCTAAGGTTTTTTATCATAAACGAAAACAAATACAATAGTCTAAGCTTGATAATAGATTTGTTAATTTCTAATTCTATAATAAGTATGCTAGACAATCATTTTCACTAGAAATCCCTGTATATTTATTCCCACTATAGAACCTGTAAGCAACAAATTTTAAAAAACTGAGGCCATCCTTAATAATATATATGTTTGCTATTGCCGACCCAGAGTTATAAGGAGTGGGTCGGTAGGTAGGCTTTTTTTTTTTTTGATATATAATTTTTACTGAACGTAAGTTAATACGCTTAGTACATGTACGTTGTAACAGATTGTGGAAATTTGGGCTACACTATCATCATCGGCAAAACTAACATGTAAAAGACAGTAAAAAACAATAAAAAACATGTTCACTAGTAATCATAACATGAAAAAAAATGACTATGTGGACATAAATTCAAGCATGGTCAAATTAGCGATGTGATAAACTAATCCTGCGTAAATATTCCCGTACGAACTGGAAAAATTATAGTGGATCACCAGGACATTTCGTTCTCACGGATGCATGATCATTACTCAATTTATTATACGTCTGTAAAAAATAACACACGCAAGATTTGTCTCCTATAATTTCTGAATGGCTGATTGTTAAAATATTTCATTGTTAGTTACCAAAAATGATCACAGATTGTTGAAATTCCATAGCGCTAAAAGACACAAAAATACTCGCGCAAAAAGTAGCATCCATAAATAAAAGGAATATAATGTTTCCATTGTTAAATATAAATACAAAATTTACACACGAAATGACCTCTGACAAATGACTGGTCGGCTCTTCTGAAGAATCTGTGAATCTTTGATGTTTACACACCTGTAGTTGTTGCCAAATCATCAAAGAAATGCCGACACTCAATTGATTTCCACCTCTTTTTTATATATCAGAAAAAAACTGTCATTTCTTTTTGTCAAGGAATGATTACACATGTTTAATTCTTGCTAAAGTAAAAAATGTTGGATATTTATCGTGTCAATTATTGACATATTATTAATCGTAAGTGCATTTTGACATGGATTTTAATTAGACGTATGTAAATCTGTGATTTTGATTGTGATATTTTATTTACATTTTTATGATCTTGAAGATATTTTGCAATACTTGTGTCTGCTATCAAAACAATAATGAATATGAAATGACCACAGCTTCCAAAAAATTATTTTTTTGGTCAATTTTATGACAGAGTCCCCGCTGCTACCAGGAATGTTTTATTGCATGGGCTAAGTATTTAATCTGTGTCGGCAGTCATAAACAAACGAACATGTACTCAAAAGCACATTAAAATTACCACATGGTAAACTAGTGACCATATAAATGCTTTACAAATATTCATTAACTGAACAAACATTATTTTTAATCCCGTTTCCACACCTTAATTTGATACGTTCTATTATTAGTTAATTCGACTTAATTGCCGCGCGCATGCAGTACTGCGTGACGTAAGGAAAATATCCTTCCCTGGTTGGTCGCTATTTATGTAAATACTTTAAATAGTAACGCACAGAATGCCCATGAATGATCACTCGTTACTTTACATATTTAATGTGTGATTTTCCGCCCATTTTATTATTGTTTTCGAGGGAATTTTTTAGGTGGAATGCCCTTGCTGATTTGGCGGAAATAAAAAAAAATCTGATTTTTTTAAGCTGAAAAAAACTTTTGAGTCGGGGCATTTTCGCTGGGTCGGCCGGCAATAGCAAACAGATAATTTTTTGAGAGTGGCCTGATTTTATTAGGAAAATGTTGTGAAATGGGTGTAAAGTAATGAACCTAGCTTTTAACATTCACAATCCATACAAATGATGATGTTGAAATAACACTATGTCTGTAATGGGGTACAATATTGATGATAAAAAATTAGTCCTTTTTTGCATAAATCATGTGAAGGTTCAGTTTGATTGTGAATATTGTTAAACAAGGCATGAAACATTTGAAAATTAAACCAACATTTTACTGTACATATATGCCACTCCTGGCATTGTTGAGGTGAATCAGATAGTGGTATTGTTTTGGTTTGAACATTGGAGGATAATTTTATGTACCTCTGGCAGTGATGGGTGCATTTAAAGGTGATTTAGCCATCTGTATTTAGAGGGGATGTAACCATCTGTATTCAGCGCAGATTAACCATCTGCATTCAGTGGGCATTAACTTCTTGCATTTAAAAGTGATTGAACCATCTGCATTTTAAGGTAATTGAATTGTCTGAAAGGTAATTGAACTATCTGCATTTTAAATGTGATTTAGCCAACTGCATTTTAAATGTGATTGAACCATCTCCATTTTAAATGTGATTGAACCATCTCCATTTTAAAGTGATTGAACCATCTGACCGTCTCCCCAGTGCACAACCTATAGCAAAGATTTCATAATGCTAAAGCTCATCTTGCTCATCTTGGGACAGCTAGGGTTCTACTCCCCAGGAAGGATGACTAGGGTTCTACTCCCCTTGGACAGCTAGGGTTTTTATCCCCTGGGACAGCTAGGGGTTCTAGCGAGTTCTACTCGCCTGGGACGGCTAGAGTTCTACTCCCCTGTGACAGCTATGGTTCTACTCTCCTGGGATGGCTAGAGTTCTACTCTCCTGGGATGGCTAGAGTTCTACTCCCCAGGGATGGCTAGAGTTCTACTCCCAAGGGATGGCTAGAGTTCTACTCCCCAGGGATGGCTAGAGTTCTACTCCCCTGGGATGGCTAGAGTTCTACTCCCCTGGGATGGCTAGAATTCTACTCCCCAGGGATGGCTAGAGTTTTACTCGCCTGGGACGGCTAGAGTTCTACTCCCCTGTGACAGCTATGGTTCTACTCTCCTGGGATGGCTAGAGTTCTACTCCCCAGGGATGGCTAGAGTTCTACTCCCCAGGGATGACTAGAGTTCTACTCCCAGGGATGGCTAGAGTTCTACTCCCCTGGGATGGCTAGAGTTCTACTCCCCTGGGATGGCTAGAATTCTACTCCCCAGGGATGGCTAGAGTTCTACTCCCCTGGGATGGCTAGAGTTCTACTCCCCAGGGATGGCTAGAGTTCTACTCCCCAGGGATGGCTAGAGTTCTACTCCCCTGGGATGGCTAGAATTCTACTCCCCAGGGATGGCTAGTGTTCTACTTCCCAGGAATGGCAAGAATCCTACTCCCCAGGGATGGCTAGGGTCCTCCTCCCCTGGAATGGCTAGAGTTCAACTCCCCAGGGATGGCAAGAATCCTACTCCCCTGGGAAGGCTGGAGTTCTACTCTCCTGGGAAGGCTAGGGTTTTACTCCCCTGGGATGGCTAGGGTTCTACTCCCCTGGGATGGCTAGAGTTTTACTCCCCAGGGATGGCTAGGGTTCTACTCCCCTGAGACATCTAGGGTTATCATTGTTTGATGTATAGTATTTTTCATAAGCTTATTTTTAATCTAGGGTTTTTCAGCTTTTCATAGAATCTTGCCACAAAAACAAGTTTTGGTGATTTCACAAACCTTGTCTCAATGTGAATTGATTGATTTTTTTTATTATTATTGCTCTGCATTTCACAATTTTATATGTACATAATTGTTGACACACTTCAATCACTGAATCAATAGAAATTAATGTTTATTATTATACATACATTTAAAAAAAAACTTAAATGGGACCAAAGAGGGCATTTATAATATATTCAATTTTCATGATCATAAAACAAGCATGTATTGTACAGTTGTTTAATGGTAACTTTATTGTTCAAGTTGTATTTTGAATGATTTGTTGTTTTTTTGTATGATGTAAAAATGTTGTTGGAGGAAATAGCAGAACATATCATTTTTGTTTAATGCATTTAGTAATATAAAACTGAAATAATTTGTACCTAGGATTGCATCTTGTTGTTTAGGTCAACACATTTGATTCATTATTGTTAAGGTTATAATTTCATAGCTTTAATTGAACAAGTGTTGTGAATTTTTGTTGTTGTTTAATTGTGATGTTTAAAGTGACATTATGCCCATCCGATACTATAAGTGAGTGAACAGGTGAAAGTCAAAATAGGTTAAACAATACTTATTGCCATTATTTCTTGTTACTTTGTCTGAACAATAACTAACTCTTGTGGGAAAATGAAATTTCTGTAAAAATCTATTAGAATTAACATTCAATTTATAAAAAGAGTCAAATAGTCTTTTTACATTTAAGGTAGATTTACATTTTTTCCTAATCATTTGCCAGTATCGACTGTCATTCAACAGTAACTCTTTTGAAATAACAGTAAATTCAGCTAAACTTAAGAGAAAAATGAGCACAGCTTTTTAATTTTTTTACTGTTTACATTTGTTTTTGATGTTTTTATTCAATATGTTTTAATTCAGTTATTTGGTATTTCATTTTATTGTTTTAATTCAAAAACAAGATCTATAATAAACTGTAAGAAAATGTGTCAGTAATGTTATAGAGAAATTTTATGGTTTTGTATCACCTCTTTTTTCATAAATGACTTTAAGTTTTAAAACTGCAATAACTGTAGTTATGTTTTTAGGTTGTATGCCAATGTTGCTTAAAAAAATATGTTTGTTTATAAATTATTCTATATCACTAGGGGCAAAATACAGCACCAGATAACAGAAAAGGGGGTAAATGTGAAATCAGATTTCAACAGTTCCCACGCATTTTATAAAAAAAATTTAATTTAATTTAACATGCATTTTATATAGCAGAGGTTGTGTATAGGGACAGTTTGTCTTTCAGTCAGTTAAATTCATCAACTAGCTGATATAAGTGAGCTGTTGTTAAGTCATGGTTCTGGTTAAGACTGTGCACAGGGCATTTCAAGGAAAAATAAAGCATTTTTAGTGGAAAATATACCTATTTTTGGCCAGGGGAAACAGTCTTTATTTAGCTGTGAAAGACAAGGAAAAAATCACTAAAAGGAAAACATACATTTCCTGCATATTATATAATGTCCTTTTCAAATGTTTTAAATATTGCTTCACTACACTTATTATACAGGGAAGTAGTGCCTAGTTTTAATCACTTTTGTTGATCAACATTAGATTGAAAACTGCAATTTTCTTGAATCTAAAATGTATCAGTTGTTTCATTTTGAATCCTTAAAAATGCTCATAATATTTATATAGATGCACTACTTGTGTGTTCAATATATTCATATTACATTGTATGTCATCAATTTAATAATTTTTTCTCATATCCCTAACCTAGGGCTGTGCAATATTCTTATAATGCCAATTATATGGTCACCAGAGCACAAAATGCT